AGTTCAGTGTGGAGGGTCTGAACTCCGAGCTGTAGGCTGAAACGAAGGCCATCTTTAAGTGTTGAGGCCTGGTTGAGCCACTCCCCTACCGGACCCAGAAGGTTGATGATCCGTGTCTGACGACTCGACTGTCCCGAGGGATAYGAACCCCTCCAAGGACCGGTACTGACCGGCGGGCTGCTCGGTGTGGCACAGGAGGCTGGACGGGCTGAGTTGTGGGCTGAAATCGTCAGAGGAACCAAGCTGATTGCGTCGTCCTATCTGCGACGATAAAGATGTCTTGCGAAGTTTGGGGGATCTTCTTAAATACCTCCTGATCAGCTCTTGGTTCTGTAGTGACAGCCTTAGAGTAGTCTTGGGTTAGTTGTGATCATCATTGACATGGTCTTATCCTGTGCTCCTTAGGGAGTCAGTCAGTAGGTTAGAGTGTCCGGGTAGGTCTACGTGGTGAGGAGTGGGACCTTTGTCATGCACCAACACCACGATGGATGACTATCCGATGTATGGGCTACTTGCTGGGTTCTCCCTCTGGAGGACCCTTTGGCGTCTCCTCTTTCCTCTGGGCTTTTGGCCCACTTTCACGTGTAGAGTAGGGCCCACTCGTGATGGGACTTCCACCAACCCCTACACGAAGGAGGAGGAGGACAAGATGACCGCCTTTCTGCAGGAAAAGAAGGAGAAGAAGGAGGCCAAGAAAAAGGCCTTGAAGGAGGAGCAGGCGGCCAAGTTGAAGAAGATAGAGGAAGAGATGGCCAAAGAGAAGGAGAGGATACAGAAAGAAGAAGGAGAGAAGTTGAAAGAGTTGGAAGAGGAGGAAGAAGATGAAACGCCATTGCAGAGGAAGAGGGTGCAGTACAGTGGTAGTAGGGATGAAGAGATGGAGAAGAGAATCTCCGAGTGGGTCGTCAACTTATCCCTGGGCGAAGAAGAAGAGGTGGCGATGTATATCTCTAAAGATGATCAGGAAGCCGCTATGAGAGCTTGGGAAGCAGAAAAGGATGTTGTGAAGCGGCAGGCATTGGAAGACGAAAAGASGATGGAGTGGAAGTTGGCAGTGATGAGGGAGAAGAAGAGGAGAGTGGACGCGGCAGCTGAGGCAGCAGAAGAATTAGAGGAAGTAAAGAATATAGAAGAGCAACTGGCCGCCCAGATCGAACTCCCAGCGCAAATGTGAGTCATAGCCCGAAACCTTGCACGCCTGACACGAATTCAGGCGGAGCAATATGATTTTAGTAGGAGTCAACACATAGCTGTGCCTTCCATAAAGTTGGGTTTTCGGGACTTTGCGCGTGAGCTGGTAGGCGCTATAGGGACCGAGGTGGGTCACCGCCTCGACAAGACTGAGCGGTTCTGTGTCGGCGCCATTGAGGGCGTCAAAGCGGCAGCTCCCAAGGAGGAGGAGGCATGTCCTCCTCGTCGGGAACCGGTCAAAGTCAAATTCCCTGATTCCTACAGTGGAAAAAGGGAAGAGAACTTYGACAATTGGGAGGCCAATGTCAAGACCTATGTGCATCTGCATCAGGTCTCCCGGATCAGCAGGTTCTGATTGCGATTCACACGCTCAGAGATGAAGCCGCCAGCTTTGCAAGGTCCCTAGTTCGCGCTGCCAATTGCAGCGATGACCCCGTTGCGTACTCCTCATTCACTTCCCTCACTGAGTTCTTGAAGCTGTTGCGCGAGAGGTTCGCCGATGTCGCCCGTAGCGTTAAGGCCTCAGACAAGCTGCAGACGATTCACGCTTGTAAGTGGAAGAGCGCCAGGGCACTTAAGAGTACCATGGACGAACTGGTAGCTGTCCCTGACCACGGAGTTACAGACACCCAGTCGGTTGGCCTCTTTTATCGAGCTATACCCGAAGCCCTCTAAGGGCATTTCTTCGCAAAGAGCGAAGACCCTGCCACTACATACGATTCCCTTAGTCGCGAAGTAGTGGCTTTTGAAGCCAAGTCTGCGTCTGTGTCCACTTTCTGGCACAAGGACTTAGATAAGGGTAAGCAATGGAAGGGCCGCACTATCTCAGGGCAAGTAAAGACCAAGGACAACCTTGTCCTAACCTTAGATGAAGGTAGTGTGGATGAGATCCCCTACGACCAGATTGAGTGGGGGTTAGAGGAGGCGGACA